CAGCATCATAGGAGCAGAGAGGCTCTCTGCTCCTATGATGCTGCTTGGCCTGCTGTGTTCATCCAGCCCTGCACCTTGTTGTCTCGGATTCTCCAGCATCTGCAGTTCCTACTATCTCTACATCTCTATCTTTCCTCCTTTGGCCTCTCTTTAAAACCTAACTCTTTGATGAATTTTTTGTATATCTACCTCTTTATGTGGCTTGGTGTTAAAATTTGTTTGATTACACTACTGTAAAATGCTGTTACATTACTGCATGAAAGGCACTACGTAAATATTGTTGTTGTTGTGAAGTGTTTATACATCTAAATCTTTTCATCTTTCTATAGCAAGATGGATTGCTTTCTGTGGATAGTCTTAATCTACTTTAATCTCTTTTGACAGTATATTGGAGCGTAATAGGCATCAATCGTAAGTATCGCCTATGACATCGATCTCTGATTAGATCAACAATTGGGAATAATTTATTGCAGATGCAGAGAATGATAATAAATTAGTGAAAATAATATATTCAATATATGCATTATAAACATTAGCCTGTATTTCAATGTAAGAAAAATATTCTGTCTGGCGTATCTGGGTATTCTTAGACTGCAAAAATATGCTCAAATTTCATGAATATTTCTTTTAATATGTCTCAAAAATGCTCAAATAGTCAACAAATGAAATGTTCATTTTTTTAAAATGCTCATTTCAGTTTACAATGTCTCCACCGTTGCTTGTCTGCATTCCTCTCAGAACCTCAGATGGTACAAAATATTGAAACAGACATACAATATATATTTTACACATTTGTAAACAATACAGTAGATGCATATGGTAGCTATATGTTGTCTGAAATAAGAAAACTGCTGATGTTTTTGAAAAAAGGGATGAATAGCTCTCAATTGATTCTCTACAGCAATTTATCTTCCTCCATTTTTGATCGTCCTGGGCTATGCATTACTTGTGACAGTGTGCCAGATAGAGAAGAATTAGAAATCAAACATGGCGGCACGGTGGCTCAGTGGTTAGCACTGTTGCCTCACAGCACCAGGAACCTGGGTTCAATTCCACCCTTGGGTGACTGTCTGCGTGGAGTTTGCACATTCTCCCCGTGTCTGCATGTGTTTCCTCCAGGTGCTTCGGTTTCCTCCCACAGTCCAAAGATGTGCAGGCTAGGTGGATTGTTCAGGGATGTGTAGATTAGGTGGGTCATAGGAGGATGGGTCTGGGTGGGTTGCTCCAAGGGTTGGTGTGGACTTGTTGGGCTGAAGAGCCTGTCCCTACAGTGTAGGGATTCTATGAATTCAGTCAGCATCTATTGAGCACTTCCTCTTGTTGACACTGCAGTGACCAACTGACGCCTGAGTTTAACTGGGAAAAGGATTGATCTTGAATGAGTAAAAATCTTGTCTGCCCTTTGTGCAACCCAGTAATGGTTGAATTGGGATTGTTCAGTTTACTGTAACAGTTCTTGTCTGACTGACTACTAATGTCACTGGTTTATGATCTAGTGATCTAGTAGGGGAATCCGTGATGGCAGCACCATTGAATGTTAAGGAATAATAATAGATGCTTTTGTTGGCAAAGGTTATTATCTAGCATTTGTGTGGCATGAATGTTACTTGCCAATTTTCAGCCCAGTCTAGATATTGTCCAGGTTTTAGTGCATTTGAAAATGAATTGCTTCAGTATCTATGGAACCTTGAATGTGCTGAACATTGTACAATCATCAACGAATATCCCCTCTTCTGATGTTAGGATGGAAGGAAGGTAATTGATAAAGCAGCTGAAGATGGTGTGGCCAAGGACACTACCTTGAGGAACTTCTCCACAGATATTCTGGAGCTGAGATGACTGACCTTTAACAGCCACAGATATGACTCTAGTTTTGCTAGAGCTCCTTGATGCCACACTCAGGCAAATGCAGCCTTGATGTTAAGGGTACTCATGCTCACCTCACCTCTGAAGTTTAGCTCTTTTGTCCATGTTTAAACCAAGGCTGAAGTGAGGTCAGAAGCTGAGTGGCCCTAGTGGAACCCAAACTGACCATCGCTAAGCAGGTTATCACTGAGCAAATGTTGCTTGATGGCACTGTTGTTGCTTCTATCAATGGTGCCCATGGATCATGCCCTGAGATGAAATTGGGTGTTGAGTAAAGTGGAGACTCTTCACAGCCAACGGCAAGCTAAGGTTACCAGGTACATGCTCTGACCTCCATTTCGAGAATTCTCAATTTCTAGTTTGCTCAGCATGTTCAGTAAATTAGGGAGCCTGATATTAATGAAGTGAGTTGTAGCATTAATAAAGCATTTCGCAAGTTAAAATCTCCCTTAATTGGTGACTTGTCACTGCTTTGTGAGCAACCTGCCTCGCCACCTCGGCTGATGAATTGTACTCCTCTATGTTGAGCACCACTTAAAGGAGTGGAAGCTGCTGAACACCAGTTTCGTCCAGAGCATATGGAATAAGGAACTTCCAGAGTAAATATGTGCAGCTTGAGCAATGTCACTGAAGGGGAGAATTATCTGATACTTAGACTAGTTAATTCAAAATTGGTCTGTGATCAAGGAAAGGAGGGTGTGCCTGCAGGTGAGATATGTATGAGGTCCCAGGGGTTTAAAATTGAGGAGCCTCAGACCCTGCAATTTCCCAACAATTATGTGGTTCATGCAAGCTATCCATGAAAGTGTGAAATGCAGGGACGATGAGCAAACTGACCATGACAATATAGTACAGGGAGCCATTCAAGTGGGGGAAGAAAATGCAAATGTAGTATTGGTGGGGGACAGTCTAATAAGGGGGATCAAGACTGTTCTCTGCAGCTGTGAGCAGGAGTCTTGAAGGCTGTGTTGACAGTCTGCTGCCAGAGTTAAAGACATCTCCTTGGGGCTGGAGACGAACTTGGAGAAGGAGGGCAAGGATCCAGTAATTAATATCCATATTGCTATTAATCACATTAGTTAAATCAGTAA